AAATGTGGCCCTCGCCTTAAAGCCGCGCGCATTCGTTTATATCCGCCGATCCGGCGTGTGAGTTTCAAGGAGTCTCAGCTACAGCCTCGAGGCTGAGCTTCAGCCTCTGGGGGGGTCGCCGGGGTGGCTCTGCCGGGGAAGGGGGGGTGGGGGGGGGGGGGGGGGGTGCGAGTTTCCGGCGAACCCCGGGGCCGCTCCGGGGGAGTGGAAGATAGGGGGGGGGGGGGCGCCATGCTCCGCTTTTTCCGGCGCTTTGGAGGAGGGGGGGGGCCCAAGAGACCCCCAAGGGGTTCCAAGAGGGCCCCGAGTCGCCGAAAAATCGCTCCAAGACGCCCGAGATGGCCTCCAGACGGCCCAAGGTGTCTCCAAGACGCCCCAAGAAGCTTCCAAGAGGCCTCCCAAGAGGGCCCCAAGAGGCCAGAATCGTTGATTTTCATTGGTTTTCTCAGGGTTTTTAGCGTTCTTGCCTTTTCGGGCGTCCGACGCTCGAAGACGGCCCAAGAGGCCCCCAAGTCCGTCCCAAGACGGCCCACGATGCTTCCAACACGGCCCAAGAGAGCCCCAAGACGGCCCAAGAGGGCCCCAAGACGGCCCAAGAGGGCCTCTGGACAGCCCAAGAAGGCCCCAAGAGAGCCCCAAGAGGGGCCCAAGAGGGGGACCACGAACCGAAAGAACCGAGCTTTCCGCCCCAAGAGGCCCCCAGGAGGCCCCAAGAGACCCCCAAGGGGCCCCAAGAAGCCCACAAGAGGCCCAAAAGAGGTTCCAAGAGGCCCCAAAACAGCTCCCCAGAGGCCTCCAGACTGCCTCCGGCAGGCCCCCGGTTTCTTCCGCGGCACCGCCCAGGGCGCCACCGGCAGGATGTCCTCCGTCTCATCGTTTTCCTTCAAGTTATCGCCTCTTCCTCATTCTCCTCCTCCTCCTCTGCGACCTCACTCCTATCCCTCAACGATCGCGTCACCGAGTGCCTCTTCTTTGAAACATCCTCGCTCTTCAAACGCACATCCATACACACATGCATACATACCTACATTTAAACACATTTGCATACATAGAAAAACAATCTTCCAGACATACATACTTACATTCACACACATACACACATATTATCATACACACATACAAACATACATACAAACTAAATACATACATACGCGCACAAGCATACATACATACATACGTACCTACACACAGGCACACATGATCAATGCATGCATACATGCATGCACGCGTACATACACACACATATATCGTGAAACTCACCGCGTGCTCGAAACTTGAGAGAGACCGCGGGAAGTCGAGAGAAGCCGCGGAACGAGGCCTCTACTACTACTACCACTACTACCACAACCACTACTACTACTACTACTACCACTACTACTACTACTACTACTACTACTACTGCTACTACTACTACTACTACTACTACTAATACTACTACTAGTACTACAGGAGCGTTTCCCAACTAGTATGTGTGTGTGGGTGATGCTGTGTGCGCATGTCTGCGGCGCAGGTTAAGTGGTGTGACTGTGTGTGTGCGCTTGAGTGTGCGCCCATAATTTCTGCGTCTGGAGAATAACCCCGAGCGACCCGGATCGGCGGCACTGGCCGAAGGCCACTACAATATATATATATATATATATATATATATATATCCACATCTATGTATGTGTATATATACATATATATACATATATATATATATATATATATATATATATATAACGCAACAGCTTCACAAGTGGAGGGCGGGCCGCTTCCAACGTGTGGCTCTCGGCTTAGCGCCGTGCACACCCGTTTGACCAGTTTGAACACGTTCAACGGATTAGAGGCGGGTCGCTTTCAACATGTGGCTCTCGCCTTCGCGACGCGCAGATTCGCCATAGGAAACTCAAAAGTTTCGCGGGTTGGTGGCGGGTCGTTCTCAAAATGCACCGCGCGCACTCGGCTGAACAAAGTGAAAGGTCTTCACGGATTGAGGGCGGCTGGTTTTCAGAATGTGGTTCTCGCCTGAGCTCCGCGCACGCTCCTTCTTTAAACATGCGCCAGATATTCACGCGTTCCATGGTCGACGTCCCCAAAATTGTGCCCTGGAAGGACTCGGGATTGTGAGGGCGCAACAATTACGTTGAGTCGCAGTGCTCAAATCCCAAGAATTGGGTTGTGGCGCGACTCACGATCTTCAATACGCAACAGTCAGCATCATCCGTGTCGAGGGAATCCCGATAATAGTGTTGTGGCACGCTGCAGGGTCTTAAAACGGATATCCCCCAACGAAGCAGTTCCCTCAGTGGAAATGAAGCCGTGTAGGGGCCTATGAAGAGGGAACTTGCAGGGAGGGTTTATTCCAACACCGTCGATGAGTCCTGTGTTCACAGTGGTTATCCTCCTCCTCCCCATCCTCCTCCTCCTCCTCCTCCTCCTCCTCCTCCTCCTCCTCCTCCTCCTCCTCTTCCTTCTCCTTCTCCCCCACCCCCCACCCCCTCGTCCCTCCTCCCTGGCTTAAGAAGCCCGCAGTGCCCCTTTCAACGTCGGGAAAACGATCAAAACAATGCTGAATGTTTGCCATTTGTTCCGCCTCGACGGGCCAGCCTCGGACACAGCGGCGCCTCCGCCAGCACATTGGGATTGCGGTCCCAAGCGCGCTCAACAAAAAGGATGCGGCCCCGGCCCAAGAAATCCGCGTGGATCTTCGGAACTTGTACGCACATGAGAGTTGTTGGTCGTCTCCGGCTTATTATTCGAAGCCCCTCCCCGACTTCCGATGTCATGACTTGGTTTAAAAGCGGAAACCCGAAGCCCTCGATCATGACGACCGCGGCGACTTGGCGCCGCCAGCAGCATGCGTGCGCGCGTTTCTGCGAGCGCTCTACTTCGCCTCGACGCTGCGAGCGAGGCCGCGACCGCCAAAAAGTGTTTGTGCATGCGTATGTTTGTAGCGGCGGCGTGAGGCGACAGCCTCACGGAGTAACGAGAAGATAAATATGATCCATTCAGGACCCGCGCGAAGAACGGGACCGTACAGGCTGATATTGAGCGTCAGTGTTCCCAGCGTGCAACTGGCTCCGAGCCGTGGCACGTCTGCGGAGAGCGTGTCCGTGTGAAAAATCGGCTGGTGAAGAATCAGCGAAACAGGGCAATCTGGACAATGGTTGCAGCTTTGCACATTACGAGCTCTGATATCGCAATCGATCGCGCAAGCCTGAGCGAAAACGCAAAGATAGTGGGCCCACGAAGTTCCCTGTGTGTGATATGCAATGCGTTCTCGTCATCGTAACGTCAAAATTGTCTCGGGGTGCGCAGCCGTCTGCCCAAAGAGGAGGCCAGCAGGAACCCACAAACGGCCAGGCCTTGCGGCACGCACCCAAAAACCTCGTGAGGTCCCTCGAGCGCGCACTCCCGAGACACAGCGTGCTGCGGCGATAATCAGCACATCCCTCCTGCAAAACTGTCGTGAGCAGAGCCCCTTCGGATGGCTCAAGGACCAGACAAGACACGCCTGGATGCATACAAAAAGAAGCATCATGTTCACATGCGTGGCGTCTCCTTTGCCCAAGCAACTCGAGGGCACGGAGTCCACGATTCTGGTATGCGGGGTATACAGTGAGCAGGGAGAGTCCGCAGGAGATGGAGGACGGGTTGCCGACAGGCTTGTACTTCACCAGCTGGCTACACGAATGCCCATGCACACCATGTCACCCACGATCGCAGAAGACACGAATCCAGTAAATCTGATCCCGACGGGCGCAAGCACACGTAGCCGAGGAGGAATGAAGAGACGATGCAAACAACCAGGGGAATAAGGCTCACCCACCCAGGCATGAATACGTCCCTCTCGGCAACCTCTGGAAAATGTCTGAACATCAGGCGTCTCTAGTTGGTCCACTCAGAGATCCTGCTGCACTATCTCACACAACGTATGGTTAGTATATGTTCTTGCAACTGGGAGCTTTGACACCTATCTGTGCTGAACAAGCGGGCAACATTATTCGACACCTTTCTGTTACTCCACTTGGCCTTCATGTGTTCTTCGAACTTCTTCAGCGTGCCCGTTTTGGGAGTCACGAGGTGACACTGCTCGGCATTGAGCGGACGGAGCGTTGAGATTACCATCGGACTCCTCCACGGTCTCCTCCTCCTCCTCCTCCTCCTCCTCCGTCCTCCTCCTCCTCCTCCTCCTCGTGCCGGTCTCGGTTCCCACTCCGCCCTGAACTTCCTTGTGTACGAGGTGGCTGCCGTCACTGTTGAGGTGTGAATGGCGCGTCTGGCGGGAAGCTGCGCTGCTGCTGCTGCTGGGGCCAGGAGGCGGCCAACGCAGGAATTGCAGGCTGGATCCACGAGTCGAAGGGTGACTTCATCGCGGCCGCCAACGTCCCCCCCTCCAACTTCCCGTTCGGTTAACCTGGGAACCATGCATCTTGAACCAAACTGGTTACGGAATGTGTGCGCTTGCGTGCGCGTGCGTGTGCGAGTGCGTGTGTGCGTGTGCGTGTGCATGTGTGCGTGTGTGCATGTGTGCGTGTGTGCATGCGCGTGCATGTGTGCGTGTGTGCATGTGTGCGTGTCTGTGCGTGTCTGTGCGTGCGTGTGCGCGTGCGCGCGCGTGCAAGTGCGCGGTGATTTTCACCGTGGGGACGAGAGCCCGAACGTTGCCTCTGGGGTTCCCAGCTCAGGGAATGGGGGAGCAAACCGAAAGTGTCCTGTCTGAAACTGTGTGTTGCCTCCTCCTCCTTCTCCTCCTACTGCTTCTGCTACTACTACTACTACTACTACTACTACTACTACTACTACTGCTCCTTTCCTCACCGTTCCCTTCCTCCTCTCCTTTCCTCCCTTCGCATCCGTGTTCCTCCTCATCTCCGTGTTCCCTTCCCCCTCTCCGTTCCTCTCCGTTCCCTCCTTCCAATCCTCCTCTCCTCCTCTCCTGTCCTCCCCGATGGTCTCTCGACATGTGGCCCCACCTCTGGCGCCAACCCTCCCCCCGACCCCTGGCTGCGGCGGGCCTTGGTGGGACACGATGGTCGCCTTATCCCCGGGGGACTGCGCCGCGGGCATCTGCGCCCTCGGCGACGGCGGGCCCAAAAGGATGGGGGGGATCTCTCCAGGGGAGGGGTATGGCAGCAGCGTCGCCGTTGACAATGCACCGCCAGGGCGACGGAGGCCACCGCAGGCCTCAGAGGCCAGTTAACGATATCGTCGCACGTGTGACTGGCACGAACACCATCCCTTACAACAGAGTCGAAGTCCAAAGTGCCGATTCGGGCTCGCGGGACAGCCCCAGACCTCTGCAACCAGAGCAACACTGATCTGACATCCTCCCCCTCCTACCCTTCCTTCCCATTGCGCTGCTGTCTTCTCCTCCCGAGGACGTCATAGCGGACCTGGAACTCTAACGAGAACTCCATCGCGTCAGGTGCAATCCGAAAGGGGGACCTGTGCACATGAGGAGGAGGAGGTGGCGGATGAGCCGGAAGATGCGCAGGATGAGCAGGAGGAGGATGAGGAAGAGGGGGCAGCAGACGAGGGTCCCCGCGAAGGAGCGCCTTCGAAAACCAATCTGGCGGGAACCGAAGACTTGAAGTGCACATGCCAGGAGGCACAAGAGCGAGCAAGACTTAATCGATTGCTGTTGATATTGGTATCACCGTCGCCCGCCCCGCGACCCACCCGCGACCCACCCCGCGACCCACACTCGCGACCCACAACCGTGACCCAGCCGCGACCCAGCCCCAGTGTTTCGCAGTAGAAAACAATCGTCGCCTGCGGCGGGCTTTGTGTGTGCGTGTGTGTGTGTGTGTGTGCCGTCGACAATGCCCGATCGCAATTAGCACTTCCATCTGCTGTTCGGGCCTGAGGATCCTCTGCGACGCCGATTTAAAAGTGTGCCTGTCGGCGGCTGAGGGATCCTAAGCGATCTCTCAAGGCTCGGGCGTTCCCAGTCGCGAGCGCTCGCGTTTGCTGTTTTACAACTTCCTCCGCCCTGTCGGTGCGCGCAGGGCCGCGACGCCCCAAAGTGTATATCGATACATACTGTATACAAAAATCAGCGCCCGCGCGGACTTCTGTGGTGGTGGTGGCCGCGTTCCCTCTCTTTCCTTTCCTCTCTTCAGGCAACAAGACGGGATTCACCCAAACAGGTACGCTGGACAAGATCCCGCGGGCTTCATTCGAATCCGAGAACACAGGCATGCCACCTTCCGTTGGGCGGATGGCTACATCAAGATTTGGAATATGGAGGAGAAGCTGCCATTCTCGTCCTACTATTCCTCCTCGTTTTCTTCCCCCTCCTCATCCTCATCCTTATCATTGTCCTCCTCTCCCCCTTTCCCCTCCTCCTCCCCCTCCTCCTCCCCCTCCTCCTCCTCCTCCTGCTCCTCCTTCTCATCATGCCTCCTCCTCCTCCTCGTTTTCTTCCTCCTGCTTATCATCCTCCTTCTCCTCCCCTCCCTTCTCATCCCCCTGCTCCTGCAAATGCTCATCCTCCGCCTCCTCCTCCTCCTCCTCCTCCTCCTCCTCCTCCTCCTCCCCACCTCCCCCTCCTCCTCCTGCTGGCCCTCCTCCTGGCCCTCCTCCTGCCTCGTCCTCCTCGTCCTGCTGCTGCTCCTCCTCCTTGTCCTCCTCCTCCTCCTCCTCCTTCTCCTCCTCCTCGTCCTACTCTTCGTCCTCCTCCTCTTCCTCCTCCTCCTCCTACTCCTCCTCCTCTTCCTCCACCTCGGTCGGCGGTCGCATGGCGGACAATAGGTGCCAATATGGAGGGAAAAGGAAGAGAGGCCCGATGAGTGAAGAACGAAGCAGGCAGCATGAGCAGAACGGCGAAATGGACTACACACACACAAGCACACTGCAACGCACAAGGCGCGGCCACATACGTGGTGACAAACAGGGGGACTATCACTATGCGGATGAGGCAATAGAGACAGGGAAGAGGAAATAGTAATGCAATTGGAAAAGTAGAGCCTTCCCCCTCATCAGAGAACAGGGTACTGCCTATGGCGCAAGGTACCGCCCAACCGGTGACACCAACTCCACTGGTACTGCGAATGATTGGGTCGCGCACCGAGTGGCTCCCTAGGGAGCGACAACCTTCCCTGCAGAGCCCTTCCCCCGTCAACTGACGGTGCTTGATGAAGCGCCAGTTCTGCAACGGCGACGACACAACAACAATAGGAAAAAAGAGAGTGCCGAGGTCGTCACAACGTAGGCGCAATGGGTATCCTGTGACGCATGCAATCCATGGCCAGGGTTTGGATCACATATGGGTCGTATGGTGTGGCAAACCGTCGCAGTGAAAATGGGATGCCCCACCCGTCGGATCCGTCGGCCAAATCGATGGCCGCGAAACCTTTCCACCCAACACCCGAGGTCCTCCGGAATGCTCACCCACAAGCGGGGGCTTTTCGCGGGGCTCGTGCCCACTTCTGGGCCGCTCGCCTGGAAAACGAGATGGATAATTAAACACCAGTGCTAGCCCAAACTCATCAACGATGCTGGAATACACCCTCCCTCCTAGCTCCCTCTTCACAGGCCCCTGCAATAATTGATGTCTGCTGAAGGAAATGCCCCGTTGGGAGACAACCGTTTGACGACCCTGCAGCGTGCCAGAACACCATTATCATGAACTCAACGCCACAAAAGAAACCTGACTGTTGCGTCTTGACGGTGCGGAACAATGCCAGAACACCCTTCATGGGACTTCGACACCGCGAATGTAACTGCTGCGCCGTGACAGCCATGAATCTTCTGGTACGCTAACCATGGGAGACCGTGGCGCTCTTGCACATGTTTAGAACGAATGTGCGCGGCGCTAAAGCGATAACTACATGTTGAAAACCACCCGTTCTCAATACGTGAAACCATTGCGCTGTTAAAACGAATTCAGGCGCTACAGCGAAACACACATTCTGAAAAGGAACCGCCCCCAATGCGCAAAAAAGCTGCAATGTAACGAATGCACGCGGCGCTGAAGCGAGAAGGCACATTTTGAAAACGGCCCTCCCTCAATCCGCGAAGCTCTTGCAATTATGTAAAGCGAATGCGCGCGACGCTGCAGCGAACATCACATTTTGCACGCGGCCCGCCCTCCGGGTGCGACAGGGAGGAATTAGTTATGAGAAAAAGGAATGGAAAAAGGGAAAGGAGGAGGAGGATGGAAGAAGGATGAGGGAAATAACCATGACAAGAAATGGGGGGGGGGAAACGGGAATGGCGTCCTCCTCCTCCTCCTCCTCCTCCTCCTCCTCCTCCTCCTCCTCCTCCTACTCCTCGCTGCGTCCTCCCCGCCCTATGCAACATCTGGACCCGCCCCCCCTGACATCCATCTACGTGGTGTGCTCAGTCCGCGGCCCACCATTTTCCCAGGGGCGGTCTTCCATCCCTGATCCATATCAGTTGGCCCAGGCCCGAAGACGGCCCCCCGAGTGCCAAGATCGTGGGAACACGACGGTTTCGTGGTTGCGCACCCCAGGCTCTGTGGACGCTTCCTCGTCCCACTCCTGCTCACCGCCCGTCCTTCTCACAATCCGCGCCATCCAGAACCTTGCTCATGCGTTCCTGTCGGCGTCCGTTCCCGGCGGGGGGCCAGAGTTACTTTTGAGGCTTCGCTCTGGCATGTATGCGTCCACGCGAAGTCAGGCTTCTGCATTCAATCCACCTTTGCAAGGTACCACACCCACTGCGGTCTGTCCTCTCTGTCGAGTCAGTCCCGTGGCGCTACCCCTCAACATTGTCAGAGCGAAGGGGACGAACGGGCTTCACCAAACCCAAGTGCGTGCTTGAACTGGGCTTCCGCGGTGACTTCCGGGGGGGGGGGGGGCGGCAAAAGAGCCCAGAATCGAAACGATAACTCGGATTAGCGATCGAACTGACACGGACCGGCGGACGCTGGCAACCAAGTCGAGACTAGTCGAATCGGCGGAAATCGGCGGGCCAGTCAGGAACGCCTCCACTGATACATCGGAACCCAGATCGAAGCCCAAATCGGAATCCCGGCCGAATTGAATCGGAAACGGAAGCCATCGACATCGAATCAAATCGAATCGGAAGAAGCGACACGAACCTGGGGAGGGCGGGCGGGGGTTTCGCGGCGGCGCGCGGCGCCCCCCTCGGCGGGCTCATGCGCGTGCGCGGCGCGCGGGCGACGGGGGCCTCGGGGACAGCACGGTGCCGGGCAGCGGGCCATTGGCCTGCCCGCAGGGGCCTGCCCAGGGAGGAGCTTCAAGCGCGCGGGCGACGACGACGACGACGACGAGGACGAGGACGACGACGACGAGGATGACGACGAGACGACGACGAGAACGAGAACGGGGACGAGGACAACGACGACGACGGGGACGAAAAAGATGAGGAGGAGGACGAGGAACCCAGCGTGGATAGAAAAAGTCTTCCTGACTAGCCGCGCCAGCGCGATGAACTTAGGTTCGCGGCGTAGACCGCACAGTGTCATCTCGCCGCTCCACGGCTCGCTGTAGCGCACGCTCGAGTTCCTGCGCCGCGGGTTGCACCCCTGGCAAGAGTGCCTCGAATTGCAGCGAGTCTGGCAGGATTCCCCCGACAGATCGGCGAGAGCCTCTCGATGTCGAAGCCTCGCGCTCCTGGGCGGCGTGCGGGCGCCCCGGCCCCGATCCGCGATGAGGGGGCGACTGGGGTTCGGTGCCTCCCTGGGGTCGGACGAATGGGGCGGGTCAGCAAAGGGGGGTCCTCGAAGCAGCTCGTGCGGCGGGGCTCCCCAGCGCGTCCCGACGCTCACAGGCGCCTGCGCACTGAGGAGAGGCGCCCGGCGGCCGAGTCCAGCGGCATGCAGCAGCTGGCATCCTCCTCCCGCTCCCCGTCCCCATCCCCCCCCCCCCCGAGCCCCCCTTCCGTCGGCGGTGGACGGCACCCCCTTTAGCAACGCGCCCTTTCGTGAAAGCTGCCGGGGGAACTCGACGTGCGCACAGCATCGCATTCCGAGTTCATCCCAGCGGGGTAGCTAATGGACGGCCAACAGAAGCAACTGACTGTATCCAGCGAAACGCACGTCGATTCGCAAAACCGACCAGGGACTGCACCGGTAACCTCGAGTGCCAATCCAATGTCGAGTGAATTGGTGCAGACTTCCTCTGTCAACTTGTCGGGGGGGGGCGTCCTGTCAATGCCCAATTTCGTCCGACCCGATTGATCGTCGTCGTCTGGCTTTCGGGCCATAGCTCGGATCTCCGTCGGCCGCTCGGGGCGATTCTGACACCTCCGGAACGCTCTGGCAGAGCCGCGGGCCTGCAGAACCGCCGAGAACTGACGAGAACACTCAACCAAACACCTCGAACCTCGAAGCCCTTCTCGTCGGCCCTTTCGTCCGACCCGGCCCGTGCCGTTGCCCTTCAGAGCTGAGGAGCAGGGGGGGGCCAGCGGGGGGGGGGAAGCATCGCCCTGAAAAAGCGGCGATACATCGCCGATGGCTCGGCGATGGGTCCCCGATGGCGAATCCGCAGGGTCCTGCGAGGGGTGGGCCCCTATAGGCGATGGATGGGCGATTGGGAGTCAATGCGCTCCCCCATGAATCAATCCACCCCAACGTTGACCCTGACTCGGCGACGCGATCCCGCCTACGGAAGTACCGATACCGTTACTCCCTGGACCTCTCCAGGGGTGCCCTCTGACAGGGATGTCGAGGAGAATCCAGCCGTGGTGACGAAGGCTCTCCAGGACGAGCGGCGATATCCGTTTCTGGTCACTCCTCTGACGTCTGGGCGACCCGTCCGTGCGGACAAGGGACTTTCTGGGAAGGGGTGCCCAAAGGCCGAGGCGCAGTGGATACAGAAAACCATCCGGCATCTGGCGCCCCCGCCTGCGAAGCCCCCGGCGGGCACTGCGCCGAACGGCGCGTGCAGCGGCGCGCCTGAGGCCTGCCGCAGGTTCGGCCTCGTCATGTGGGGGAGGCGCGCCGAAGGCCCTGCCAGCCCCGGGGCAGAGGAGGGAGGGGAGGGGAGGGGAGGGGAGGAGAGAAGGAGGAGGAGGAGGAGGAGGAGGAGGAGGAGGAGGAGGAGGAGGAAGTGGAGGAGGAGGAGGAGGAGGAGAGGAGGGAGGGAGGGAGGGAGGGAGGGAGGAGAGAAGGAGGGAAGAAGAGCGAAGGAGAAGAGGAGGAGAGGAGGAAGGGAGGGGGGAGGGCACCCGCATCCAGACGCGTCCACGCCTGCTCCTCGCTAGGCATCCGGAGGCTCGAGACAAACAGCTCGAAATGCAAAAGCTGGCCACAAGGGGAAGGGCCGAGAGGGTCATAGTCCCACGTCTGAAAAAATCGAGCCGCCGGATGTCCGGGTCCCCTCTCGCCCACCCCCCTCCCTTCTCCTGCCGTCTACCCCCCCACCCCCCATTTGACCCTCTTTCCCCTCCGTCCACCAGGCGTACGGCGCTCTCTTGACTTCCTGCTAGCCGCAGAGCTGTCCGGTGTCTGATCGCGGATGCGCACGAAGCTCTCGGCGCTACGACCCTCGCGAAAATGACCTCCGACGCCCGCATAAGTATGTTCGATTCTTGCTGTTGGCCCCATCGCATGGGCTTGGTTCCTAAGGGCTCCAATGGCCCCCCAGTGAGCCGCGAGAGGCCCAGACTCAGGACGACCCGCCGCCGAAAGATTTGTCAGGACGTCGAAGTGCATGCGCCGCGCGCGCCGCAGCGCCACGCAAGCGGGGATGGACCATCTCCTTCCTACTCATATAACCCTCGGCATCGTCATCATAATAATCATCACCATCATCATCATCATCATCATCAGCAGCAGCAGCATCATCGTCGCCATCATCATCGTCATCATCATCAGCATCATCATCACCATCATCATTAACATCACCATCACCATGACCACCACCATCAACATCACATCTATCATCCTCACCATCATCATCATGATCATCATTAGCAGCAGCAGCAAGATCACAATCATCAGACCATCATCCTCATCAGCATCATCAGCAACATTAGCATCATTATCATCATCAGTATCATCAGCAATAGCATCACCATCACAACCACCATCCTCACCATCATCATCATCATCAGCAGCAGCATCATCAGTATCATCAGCCTCATCATCATCGCCAGCGTCCTCATCATCACCATGATCACCATCATTACAACCATCATCCTCCAACTCCTCATCCACCTCCTCCTCCTCCTCTTCTTCCTCCTCCTCATCGAAATCATCCTCCTCCTCCCGTCGTCGTCGTCGTTGTCGTCGTCGTCGAAGTCGTCCAAGTCGTCGTCATCGCCTTCGAAGTCGTCATCGCCTTCGAAGTCGTCGTCGTCGTCCCCGTCTTTGTCCTCGTCGTCGCCCCCGTCCCCGTCCTTGTCGTCGTCGTCGTCAGCATCATCATCATCACCACCACCATCTTCATCATCATCACCATCACCATCACCACCGTCATCTTCACCATCACCATCACCATCACCGTCACCGTCACCATCACCAGCAGCACCATCGCCACCATCGCCACCATCACCACCATCATCACCATCCTCGTCCTCGTCCTCGTCCTCCTCCTCTTTTTCCTCCTGCACACCCCACCCCTCCCCAGGCCCGTGGAGCTCTCGACCTCATCCCAGCAACGGTTTTTTGGCCGCGGATCGCTCTTGTTGACGGTCCTGGGGCCCTAAAGTGGCAACTTGGATTGCCAAGGTTGTCGAAAAACGTCCGTCGTGTGTTTTCCCCGCGCCACCTCGAGATCACGGACTGACGGAGCGCTTGCGATAACGCCACGACCTCTCGAGCTCCCGAGGTCTCCAGAGGTCTTGGGGTTTCCTGGAACCCTCCGGAGGCCCACGGGAGACTCCGCGGGGGCCATCGGAGGTTACACTTGGATGACCGCAGGGCTTGCCAACGGGATACGCAGGTTATCAGCAGATGCTCGGGTGGATCTGAAGGTCTGCACTCAGTAGGGGGCTGCGCCCACATGTAAGGGTCATCGAACCCACCAAAGCCACTCAGGACACTCCAGTCTCGGAGGTATTTTTCCAGACGCCACACCAGGGCCCGAACAGCATCCCAAAGACACGCGGCAGCTTCCACGCCCAACCCTGGCCGCATCAGCGAGCGCGCGGTCCAAGCGCCCCCCACAAGAAAGAATCTAAACTGGCTTCCGCCTGCGAGGGGGGGGGATTGGTTGAGACGTCCTCGAAAATTGTTCGAATTGGCCCAAGTTTGGCTTGGTTTGGGCCCAGGTTCGTTTGAGACGTCCTCACAAGTTGCCTGGCGTGGCCCTATTTGACCTGGGTCAGGCCCAGCTTCGCTGAAAAAGTCCTCAGAAGTTGTTTGGTTCGGCCCTAGTTTTGCACGAGCCGCTTTCACACTTTAAGTGGTGAGTCCAGCTGGCATACTGCACAAGATAAGTCATCGCCATTGGGCCGGTCCTGGAAGTGGGCGCGGCCCGGCTACAGCCCACATCTCTGGCACCGTGCCTGTGCACGGAGTAGAGGTGTGAGTTATGATTTTCTTGTTGAACTTGGCACACAGGGCCCCTCGAGGGTCAAACGGCAGCGAGTTGCGCACGTACGTGTCATGCACACACAGACACACACACACACACACACACACACTATATCACACCCGTGAAACTGCGTCACGAGCTGACCGGCCGGGCGCGGCACATCGCGCACAGAAACCCGCGGGCCGTCAAGGGGCAGCAGGAGGCAGTAGAGGCGCTCCCACGAGGTAACAGGTCAAAGGCGGCCGATTGGCCCAGTACCACCTTCTAGGCAAGATGGCTCTCATTCAGTGCCGTCACTGCCCTTTGTCGGGGTAGTGTTCATTGCGGATATGATTTCTCCTTCGTAGTAGTGTTCAATCTGGCCCGCACCAGATGCTTCTTTATTCTCTTAACCGTCGATTCCGGGCCCAGCGTTATGTCCGAATTTTCCACCGCGTAATATACTTACTCAGAAATTACTAGGAATAGTCTTCGTGATACGATGTGCTGCCATAGTGCGGGTGTCGATCCACCGTATCTTGTCACAGAAAAGACTGGGATGTAAAAAATAAGCTTCCTCTTGTCGTCGGGTCCATGTATCTTGACGTATCCTCAGATCAATACTCAATGTGCGCCTTCCACTTTACCCACGGTTGGTGCATGCAAATGCTCTTCCAGGCTCTTGCAGCATGTCATCCGCAGATGCCTCATCGTCATGGCAGACATGTCTTCCCAACCTGAAGGAAGCTTACGCCTGGCACCGAGCGCGCCACGAGCGTCAGCGATGGCAGCGCGGATGTGCACGCCCGAATGTACACCCCAGAGACAAGCCAAAGTCTCCGCCTGACGAGTAAATTTACATGCGCGCTTGATAAACTAACTCGACCGGTAAATAGGGCGAACATGATCACTGTTCCCCTCGACAAACCAAGGTCCGGCGAGACTGTGAAATCTAGCTCTCTGAGATCTGAGTGGCTCAAGTCGACCTTTAACCATGTCGGTCTCTCCTGCCCAGCTGGCGTCGGTAACTGCAAGAGCTAGCATACCCTTGTGCCATTTGACTGCTCCTCCCTTGAGCACAAGTCCACTGCCTGAGGCCTGCGATGCCTCTTCCAGAACACGATTCGGTTGCTTGAGATGGAGCACAGTTGCGTGGTTCGCTACAGTCTGTAATCGACTCACGCGATAAACCAGCTCAGGCTTGCATTGTCGGGCCACCCATGATTAGGCTCCAACGACTGACCTGAATTGAGATGCCCCTCCTTCATTGCATTTCCTGGAAAGTGGATCTGTCCCTGGGAGATCACGGCCTCAAGATTCTCAATGTTGCCCTTCGCACTGACGCGAGGAGGGAAACTTCACATCCACAGCCACGGAAATCTCCTGATTCAACTTCTCGCGTACCAAGCTCCGCCAACGATGGATCGGTAATATTATGGCTATCGTTGTCCGCAATTCATCAGATATCGTCTACATGGGCACCTAACGCGCGCGTGATCTCACCTTCGCTATCTGCGATGCTGCAGAGGAGCTGGCATGATGTTCTCTCAACCCACGCGCCTTGCAACGTTGGCGAATCTTCTTCCATGGCCCTCCACCCGCGCCGCGGGTTCCGTGAAAGGGCGCGCGGGCGATAGGCGTTCGCCCTCCGGGACTCCTTCTAAACCGTCTGGTGGTGGCTCGAGCAGCACGAGACGGTCGAGTTCTCGTCCCTGGGAGCACTCAGAAGTAATGGCGGCACATTTCAAAATCTTGTTCTCTCCTGCAGCCCAAGATATCATCAACCTTAGACCTTCGAGCTTACCGTAAGCCGCGCGAGTGCCAAACGACTCCTCTGAATCTTCTCGCGCGGCGACTTTGCCCTTCTATTGGGACGCAACCGGTGGCCCACCTGCTCTGCGAAGGTGCTCGTTTATCGATGTCCATTGCGTCGGGACCGTATGATTTCCCTCGCCCAGGAGTCACGAAAGCTCTATCGGATATCTGGGAACTGCTGCATTAAACTGCATCCGCTTTCCCCATCCTCTTGACTCGCAAAGTCGTAGCCCGCTCTTGACGTCTTCTGATTCTCGATGATATACTAAGGTTCCGCGGCTGAGTCTTGTTGATGGTACGCTCATTGAAGAGTCCTACAAATGATTCGCGTGGTATGGCAGCTATGGAATGTCCAATACTGCGGTAGTTCCACACCTGCACCTGTGGTACCAACCAACCCTATGCCATGCATCGAGCAGCGGACTCGATGGCTCGGGTCTCGGTTCCGGTTCTGAGTCCGGTGAACCATCTCCCAGTGCCCTTTCAGAAGCTGAAGCTGAGCCACCAACAGCGAGCCCCCCACGCATCACCTCGCTACGACCACGTACTCCGCACAGGGCCCTCTGCAACGGCGCGCGGATCACTTGCGGTGGCCGCGATGCTTCTTGCTCGTCTAGCGGAATCATTACAACTTTCAGCCTCGTCACTCATATCATATACCAGGACAACGGGTTGACTCCTCCATTGCTGCTTCTGGCTCGGAATATGTTTCGATAGCATGCGATACGTCCCCATGTTGACCTTCAGGTTCAATGGTGTCTGCTATCTCCCGGCGTTCGTCCACGAACGAGTGTTGTTGATTGTCCAGAAGGGCGCGACGACCGAAGTCGCCATCGCAGTTTCGATCAAGATACTGGTGCGCAAGCGCTTCCGCCGCAGAGCACAAGCGGATCCTGTCGATTGCGACGCAAACTTGGACCCCCCCGGCGATGACCCACGCATTCTAGCCATCGAACCCGACAATTCGAGAGCCCGTGCTCCGCGTGGCTGCGACTTCGCCCCCAGTCGGTCTCTCGCGGAAACATGCCGCATCACCAACTTGGCGTTCACCTGCTAGAGGTCCGGCCTTTCTGAGTGCCTTGCGTGCTGCGGCACGAATCGCTGCTTTGCGCGGGCATGCATCAGACCTGTCCCCGGCAACGTTAGCCAAAAGCGTCACCGTCGTCGAACTGACTCCCTGGCACGCGGGGAAGTCGCCCAAGGACCCATTGAGATGGTGAGAATCTTGCTGCCTGAGAAATCTCGTCCTTTGTACTTTCGACTTCTGCGGCTGCACCCAGTGCCTCATCAAGCCCTATGACATTCTTGTCGTGAGCAACCGTCTTCAATGCGTTCTTCCATACACCACCGTGCCTCCCAGTACGTACGATTTGTTCTGGGGTTTCGACTCCTGCGTCACGAAGGTCGATCCCTTGGCTGTCATGCCACTGTGTGAAAACACCTCGATTGTGTAATCCTCGCCCCTGCGCAATTCGTTTGGGTTTGCCAGCCCACGCGCGCCTGTGCTGCTGCTATTGTGTGAGGCGCGTCCTGGAGCATAGCGCGCCGCCGCCTTGGCGTGCGAATATGACGCGTTGGAACGTAGTCCCCTGGCAGATGATGCTCAGGAAGGTGCGCATTCCTCCACTGTTGTCCTCGACCTCGATATAATCGATGCCAACTTCGCGATTGAAGCAGCATTTCTTGGACATAGCTACCTTCTGAGTTTGAGCTAGCGGCTAGCGGCCTGCGGAATTCACAAGACTCGCACCTGCGGTGATTTGCTGCTTCGCTGTGCCCTGCTGATATTCACGATAGCCTCATGAGCTGAGAAAGTACACGATTGGGTAAATGTCCGAAATGTGAATGAAATCGCCGAATGGCGATCCTCACTCTGAGGGTCATCTTGGGCCAAGCCCTTCTCGGACCCCCCTCCGGCTTCGGCTCTCCGGGGAGCGGCGGCTCCTCCATGATGTCCTGCTATTCATATCTGCGCACTTCCCGTGGCTCGACAGCGACGCCCGCGTCGACGTCGACTGAATCGAGCGGCGCGTTTGTCCTCTCCACGGTAGCTTCAGCTGGGAAGGCGGCCACAATAAGGCGATCTAGCCGTGGCTGATGACCGAGATCCCGCAGGAAGTCAAGGAACTTGGGCGAGCTAGCGCCCAGGTCTGACTCTAGATCGGGAGTTCAGCGCATCCGTAACGTAAATGCTTGAGCAAGCAGCTTGGCGACCAGGTGCAGAGGTGGCCGAGCCGGAATTATTCGACAGCTCCTCAAAACAACTACGGATACTGTTACGTCATGACCGATGGCATGAGCGACGACGAGATCAGGATTGCACTCGGCGGTCACTTTTCCCACGCACGCGTCCCAGGACGGACGGATCGCAGCGCCCTCCGCCGCGCCGTTCGCGCTGGCGGCCCCTGCGCATGCGAGGCCGACGACGAAGCGCATCACCATGCCCGCGGAGAAGCGGCCCGTGAGCGGCATCTTGACGTCCGTCAAACACTTCGTGATGGCGGCGTCCTTCTCGCCTACGTTGAACAGCCCTGTATAGTTGTGCTCGCGCTTCTGTGCGTTCATGGTGGCCATCTGATGCTCGTCAAGTTTGAGCGGTGTACAAAAATAAACAGTTCCGTCCTGATGTGTACGAGGCGGCTGGGTGAATGCACGCATCCTGTTATACTCCTGTGCGTCGCGCTGATCCCACCTATGTGTCTCCTTGAGGCGGCCCCTAGTACTCTTGCGCCAAGTCGCCCACGACGTAGAATACTTGATCTTCGTGTCATTGGGATAAAACTTGAAAATTGAACGCGCCATGTTACGGCTGTCCGTACGCTTGGGAGCTGATTTCACTCCTCTCTCAGACAATGTAACAAGATCGACGTGCGCGGTGGAATTCCGTCTCTTACCAGCTTCGGCAAGGTCTCCATCAGCTCATTTCCAACATTCACGGGGTCGAAGTCCAAGACTGGACATCCGCCCCTGTCGTCTGTCATGCGCAGGCCCCGTTTCAGAGATCCCGCGATGGTAGCCGCGTCGGCAGGCGGCGGCGGTGGAGGCGGCATTGGTGCAAATGCCCTCGGTGCATGAGCCGGCGGCGGCATTGCAGGCTTCCGAGCACGATGAGACGCTGGCGGGGATGCTGACAGTGGCATCGAAACCAAAGCGGCAGCTGCAGATGGATCACTATCCGCCTTGCGCTTCGGGGTCGGGATCATCCGCGCCTGCTCGGCGTTGGGTTTACTCTCCACGAGGCGGCTGGGCCCCGCCGCGGCCGAAGGCTCATCGTCGTCGCCATCAGGAACCACAAGGGTCATCCCTGGCGGCTCTGGCTTGGCGCCCGTCTCAACGAATACAGCGGCCTCTCCGACGATGTGCATGTAATCAACCGGGGTGCGGTTATCCTCGGCTCAGATGCGAACATCGAACTGCAGCTCTCGGCCTTTGTATCGCTCCATGGTATGCTTGAAGTCCTCCTCGTCATATTCTGGTCCCTCACGCGATCTCAATATGGTGCGAATGTATCCTCTGGCCATCTTCGCATCATCATCACTTATTTCGTCGTGAGCACGGGGGTGAAAACTGGCGCGGGGGCGCCTCTCCTTGTGACGAGCCCGATCGAAACCGCCTGCCTTGGCGCGACGCTTGGCAACTGGAAGTGCATCGCGGCCCTCGGGCTGAGGAGAGGATCCGCCGTGCTTCTAGACAGCATCAGAAATCAAGCGGACCATCTGGCTTGTGGCGTCAGCGGCCATATCCACATCCCAAGATGGTATGTGGCAGCAGTCGTCACAGCGACCACCACATGTTCTCTCATCCCACTCATGGTCACTGAGGTGGAACGAGGCATGCGCAATGCGTACTTCCGACAGGTACTGCTTCAATCCACGAGAAGCTGCAGCTGAACGATGTCGACCTGAGCCTGAGCGGCATATCAATACAATCGCAGCCGACTCACCCTGTGAGCAGCACGAAATGGACCGACAGAGATAGTCAGCGATGTCGGGGAGGCGATTCTCTGCAGATGCCTTCAATATCTGCGGATGAACTCCGATGCGACGCATACTCTGAGGATCGTCCAGCTTCCAAGTGTCGACGAAGGTGAGTCTCTCAAACTCTCCGAGCTTCGGGCGGGAAGCAACCAGAGCATCGACCAACGTCTTTCCGTCCTTCCCTGATATGCTCATGTCGCGACTCTTTCCACGACGGTGGCTGGCAATATGCCCGGTGAGCAGCTGGCTGTCTGTCCCGGCAGGATGACTCTCGAAAATCCTCAATCCCGGCCCAATCCCATGGCGACAACTGCGAACGAAGGAACCTCACTCCTTGATGATTCGACGGATGGCGACTCGACAAGGGTATCTGCGCGACGCTTACCCATTGCTGAGAAATTCTCGCTCTCGCCGTCGCTCTGATCCATATTCGCCTGCCGTGCAGGCCCCGCTGTGGGAGACGTCGTGGCTGTATAAAAGATACGCAAAGGACTTGCAACATCAGGCGCGCGATTGAAATTCAAAATGATCCAGGCAAATGGCAAGGGGCCCTGAACGATGACAACGGCACATCTCCACCTCGCCCTCTAGATCCAGAGTGACGCGGCCCGCGACGAGGTCCTTAACGATCCCGAGCGACATCTGCGCCTGCAGCGACAGCAGGAGCGGCGCATGCTCTTGATTCGTCAACTGATGGGACTCGAGAGCACCGCAAACTGCACCACGACTGTTAACGATGCGGCAAGGGAAACAATGGAATGCACGGGAGTAACTGCATGGAATACAGGGAGACACGAAGTATAAGTAGGGGGGCCCGTGCTATAAGAGAGCACGTCTCTATCCTTGCACGGAGGCCAGGGCGCACCCGTCGCCTGTGCGCCGGATGACTCCAGGGCCCCTGCGAACCACAGCGGCGGCACACAAGGGAGGCAGGACGGAACCGAAGCAGGATGAGAGTCTCAAGTACGCACGACAACAACAGCTCCTACCGTTTCTGCAGCCGAAAAGCCGACTCAGCCTCAGTCCTCGAACTTCATCTTATGGTTGCCGTAGCCTCGGTAACCGTAGCCATTTGGATACCGTAGACTTCGCCAGTAATCCCAAAGCGTCTGCGACATGCAACCGGCACAGCCACGCGCACACGCAGGCCTTGAGAGCGCCCCCAGGAAAGGCTTCTGCAGCCGAGAAGCCAACGCAGCCTCAGTCCTCGAACTTCCTCTTATCGTTGCCGTAGCCTAGGTAACCGTAGCCGTTTGGATACCGTAGACTTCGCCAGTAATCCCAAAGCGTCGGCGACATGCAACCGGCACAGCCACGCGCACACGCAGGCCTTGAGAACGCCCCCAGGAGAGGTCCGCCCAAGCACCGTCAGATCCTGATTCGCCCATTTCGCCCACGAAGCTTCGGCTCGGAGCCGCTGGGGTCGCACTGATACACAGCTCGAACCACGTACTGGGATCCTGCGCTGACCTCTATGGTCTATTGGGGAATCCATCTCTTGCTCTTTAGGAATCCGCTTGACCGAGAAAGGTCCAAATTCGTCCATCTTCAGGTTGGAATCCTCGCTCGGCTCGGCCGGCTAAGCGTGGGCAGCCGGAAATGCGGTAGGAATCTATCCCGCGCCGTAAGGTACATCCTGACCCTGTGATTCCATAGCTTGCGCCATCTAAAGACAGGCTGCTTCCGCTGGATCCTGTCGCAGATACCCCCCATCGTGGTAGTGTGGATCCATAACTTGGTGACATAGGTACTGCCTTCGACCTGCCACCGCTGCTTTTGAACATGCGTCTTGGGATAGCCTGCGCGGCGTCTGCGACCCACTTGCATCTCAAAAATGCGCGAGTTAAGGTTCATCTCGGGACCCAAGTCAAGCGACACGTGCACCATATAACTGGCGCAACTTGCACGGCGGGTTGTTCCTTCGCAGTTAACAACGAAGATGTTGTCCGTGCTCGAAAAGTCCCTGCTTCAGCTTGCGCAGACTTTCGTTGCTCCAGATAGATGCAAGAGCTGCCGAGCTGGCGGCGGGACACGCGGTCTGGATGTCGGCATCCTGGTGGCAAAGGGCTTTATCTTGCGATATCTTTTTGGCGCACATTACTGACATATCGACGAACCACCAATGTCTGGTCGGGCATGCGGTCGAGCCCCGGCCCTGGGGGCCGTCGAGGATACCCGAGAGATGTTCACGAGATAAGTTTGATCATTTTGATAGCTGAATGTCCCAGACTGAGCTTCCAGAGCCAACCCGTCAGGTTGCCCCTCGTCGCGTCGACCTCTGCACGGTCCTTCCATAGGGGGCTCATCATCTTCTCAAAGACTTGCTTTCTCCTGCTTGCCAGCTTGTGGCTCTGTCTCCAGCGGGCGCTGACGCAGTGCTCTTCGAGTCCAAGAAGTACCTGACCCTTCTCCATTGGAGATTCCTCCACCAGAGGATTGGAGACGTGCTGTTCGAGTGTCGCCACGGCGTTCATGGCCTCCTGCAGGGCTTCCGCAGCTGGAGGTGCATTGTCTACGCATCGCTTGAGAACGTACACGGCGTTTGCCACCTCGCAGTAGCTGGCCAGAACGTGCTTCGGATCCTCGCTCTGTTCCCGCTTGCCGCGTTCCGCAATCTGCTCCGTGAGATCCCGGAGTGCGGCCCCACCTTCTGCCGCCAGCTCCCCCCAGCTGTCGCTGACTAACTTATTCTCCTCCTCGGGTGCATGCCAGAGGTTCCTTGCCAATATTCGGAAGGTCGCTGTAGTTCGCGCTGGTGGCGAGAGCCAGCGCCGAAGGAACCCAGCCTGGTATGTCCATGAAGTTCCTCCAAGCGAGCCCTGACGCAGGGTGAATTCTCGCGGGGCCTTCGCCCTCGACCTTCGCGCGCTCGGCGAAGCAACCATAGACAGGCTCGTAGTCTTGCTCCTCGGCAGCGATCTCGGCGTCAGACGCGCTGCACGATGCGACCAGATGAACAGCTTCCTTGACGGGAGCAGACGTCAACAGCTTCATCCAGACATGGAAGGTCGGGCACTGATGCTGGACTTCATGCGTCTCATCCACCTGCTCGTTGATGGCCGCGGTAGGCTTCCGAGCTCGATCGCCCATCGTCTGTCAAGCTCTGCCCCTCAACGCCAGAGAGTAGGTGAGGTCGTCGGTAGGCCATCATCCGCTCTTCTCCTCCACATCGGTAGGCCCCTCCTGCGTCGTCTGGCCCACGTTCTCGCTCTGATCCTGCATCTTCTCGGCCTCCACCATACCCCCCCGCATCTGCATAATCTTCTCGTTCTCCACGTCCGCGATGGATACAGCGGCAGATGACACGCTGGCAGCAAGTCTAGTCGATAGAAAAGGTCGTCAACGGTAGCCCACGCGCGGTCGTCATCTCCTGCAGGAATGCAAGGAGCATCCCAACACCCTTGGTGATCCACCTCGCCGCGATGGCGCCGGTGCGGTCCTGTGATCCAGGGATCTCCCATGAGGAGGGCCCCGTAGTTCATGAGCAGCGAATTCGTGATCTTGTCAGTCGGGATCGCCGACGAGTCGCCCGGAGAAACGCCCAGCCCACCTTCTTCTTCAAGCTCCTTGGTGGCTGCATACCTGGCGGCGCAGTCGAGTCCCAGGCCCCGCTCGCGGGCGACGCCCGTGTCCCTCGGGTCGATCCTTCCCCCTGGCGTAGCGACCGCGCGCGGCGATGCCACCCCGCTGCTCCGACGGTGAACCAGGGCGGGAACGCTGCCATGCTCATCGGGAACCAGGACGTAGACACCAACGGTCCCGATGTACTTCGGCCTGGGAAGTGCTAGCTCGGAACTGGACGGCGGCGTTTCCACGACTATCTCCTTGACCGCGTCGTCGTCAATGTCTCCTTCGATCGAATGTAGCTGAGCCGACCAAGGTGCAGCAGCAGCAGCACGCACCATGGATCCTCCAGCTGCCTCGGGCAATGCTTCGGACAGAACCTGTAGCCGCGTTAGCTCCTCTCGCGCCCTTGCCTCTGCATCGGCCAAGAGCCTTTTCTCCGCGGAGGCTTCGCAAGGCGCCTCGTAGCGCTGCAGGGAGTCACTTGCGGGGTCGGCGCTGGATGCTGCACCCGGCGATCAATGGCTGGGATTCTCTTCCTGCTCGTCATCGCCCTCGCTCGGGCCCACGTCCACGACGTCCTCGGCCTGCGCGGTCTGGCGCTTGATCCCCCCTCTGGTGCATAAGTCGCGCCCGACTATTGGCTCTCATTGTTTCGACATATTGCATGGTCAAGGGGCGAGTGCGTTTGCCGAGAAGCGTCCGACCCAGGTTATTCCTGGTCGGTTCTCGAAGTCCCTGAAGGCCCGCCGCAGCTTCCAAGTCCGCGAGCAAGCTGAAGTTGCCCCCCTCTTGTCCTTCAGGGCGCACTTGATCCTGTGGGCCCGTACTCGCAGCATCTTCTTGAAGTAGCGTGTCCAGGAGGCCCAGGCGTGGAAGTTGTAGGTCGACTTCGCGAGCTGGTTCACCCTAGCACGATGGATGCGTTGCATCTCCGAGCGCGCCGCGAATCTGTAGGGGGAGGTCGGCAGTCCCTGCGCGCAGCCAGTCTTGTTCCCGACCTCGGGCTTCACCACTTCTGTGACGTTGGTCGCGGGTTCCTCAAATTGGCGTCGAGCTTGTGCGAGTCCGTTCTCCGCCTCGCGCCATTGCTGGATCCGCGCGTTCCTGGTCTGGAGCAGCTCCAGGTATCGCTTTGGCCTGAGCCGTTGAGACTCAGCGCGGTCGTCCTGGCCCGCCGCCTGCAGGGCGATGATCCTCCGTCGCCGAGAGAGTGGACCCTTTTTTCCACATGCTCCACGTGGTCCGTCCCGTTCTTCAGGCGAACTGGCCCCGCCTCGAGGTTTTGGCCGGTGGCCATCAAGGGCGCCGCGCATCCTCTGCGGTGATGAATATTCGGGCAAGATTCGGGAAGCTCGAGACGGTCCACGTGCTCGTCGAGGGTCTTGTTTTGATCGTCCACCTTCCGCGCCCTCTTCTCGGTCTCGCCTCGGCGCTTGGTGATCTCCCGACTCGCGCGCTCCATCTTATTCTCCACCTGCCGCTCGGCGCCAGGTGATGCGCACCCAGGGTCGACGTCCTCCATGGGCACCAGGCCCACAGCGCCGCTCTCGTCATCCTCGCGGGCGGGGATTGCACGGCCATTCGACTGTAGGCGATGCGGGGCGCGCGGGTTCCGCGTGGAAGTGGACGCGCGCTGCTCATCGCGCAGCTCCTCGTCGACCTCTGCGCCCCCCTGAGCGCCCGAACCCCCGGGGTCCAGGAAGCTCGTCTGGGCGGGTCTCCTCCAGAGTCCTCCGAGGGAAGTCCCGAGGATTCTCGCGCACTTCACCTGCTCTCCTTTCTCTTGGAGCCCATGAAAGACAGGCGTGCGGGGGCGGCCAGGAGGAGGCGCAGCTGGCGCTGAGCCTTCGGCGGATGAGGCAAACGC